ATGGCACGTACCAAATTTCATATCCATACAATTTGTATAAAAAAAAACTAAAAATTAAATACTTTGAGACGTGGGATCTAAAATCAAACGGTGAGTGGCTCTCTTGATCAAAATTGGATGGCTGGATGGTAGGGGAAATATAGAAACCTTTCCCTTTTGTTTATACTTTGTTTTTTGTCACATTCATACATCTCTATGTCCAGATGATCAACTAGAGGGTTTTTCAATATTAAAACAACCTTCTCTGATGGATTTTTAAGGTTTATCCGTAATTCTACATTTTAAGATTGCAACTTTATATAAAAATTTTCCATATTAAAAATAAAGAATCATTCGGTATTTCGAACACCAAACAACAACTGTCCCGTATTAGAAATACTGGACATCAACTTAACAAAAAAGCTAGCTATCCGATAATGTGAACGCCGAATAGCTCTTGGTGATTGCAAATGAGATAGGATTTCTGTCCGGTGTTGTCATTGCCGAGCATGAGAGAAACTAGGGAATAAAAAAAGCCACAAGGGAGAGGGTGCTCATAATAGGGCGCAACTATATCCCCAAATATTGATAAGGGCTTTCAATAGTGTACGTACGTAATTTGCTCTAAAATATATCATTCAAAACCTGCAAGTCTACTGAGATCTAATGGGTGAGTGGTGTGACCCATGAGTTCTTTTACTTTCACTTTTTTTCGGTATAAAAAAGTATAAAAGACCATGGATGCCTCAACCAAGTGGTTAATAGCAATTTCTGGCAGAGCTAGGCTTCAAGGAAACTTGAGGCCATAATTAGTGAGAGGTTCTTGAGAACACAGTTGCAGCTACAGATCCTCTATTATCATTGGTGTGTGGCATTTAGACATGAACATATTCATAGAATTTCTTCCTGAAACCGAATAAATTAGATTTTCAAAAAAAATTTGATAATTTTTGGAATTTTTCTGTAAGCTTGGGATAGCCAAACCTGTTGTATCGGTCTCAGTTAGTTGGTTCGCTGCGGTCGACTCGGACCCAGTTGATGGATGGTTCGGGCACCGGAGCAGATTCATTGAATCTTGATGCAAATTGTAAAGCAGGGTTACAATAATCATACCAGATTAGCCCATTTTCACTGTTCAGGCAGCAATTAGGTTTATGTTTGTCTTTTTTTTTTCTCTTACAAAATCAAAATATAGATATATAATTTTCTATCTCATTTCTTTACCAAACCTTCTCAAATTTATCACATATTGTTATCTCTTGTTGATCTAAAATTTCCCTAAAAAAATTATGATCAAAATTGATTTTTGGTGAGATCAAAACTCCAAGTCGCCATTTCTTTTATTTTCTAAACCAAAGCTGCAGTGCTAGAAAATCCACATTTGAGCCTTCTAACATATCTCCAACACAATTTGTCCAATACAAAACCAAGTTCAATGAGATCTAGCATCAGAAGTTTCGACACTTTTTTAAATATCCTCGGATTTTCAAAAGAAATCATACATTTCACTTTTTATTTAGGTGTTTATTAGGTTCTAATATTAGGGAATCTTCAAATTTCAAAGGTCTTGCAGGATATAAAATAATAGTTGTGTAGTTTTTAAATTTTCTTATTATATACTATTTTTTGAAAAAACCATTGGATTTTCTAAAGGGAAAAGTTTGTTGCAACCTTAAAATATAGAATCACATATGCACCTCAAAAATCCATCGAAAATGTTGTTTTAATGTTGAAAAAAACCCTCTAATTGATCATCGAAATGCGAATATGAAAAAAAAAAGTTTTGAGTCCCGAAAATAGTGCATCTTGCAACATATTATCTAGACCGTCCAATTTCAAGATTTTTATATATTCATAGATCTACTTGATTTTAATCATTTTTGGAATTTAAAATTTTTTAATTAGGTATGAAAGTGGATTTTAAGATAATAATAAATATTTTTTACAACAAAATTACATGTTATAATAAAATTTTAAGGTGCACCTTAATTGGATTGTTTAAGATTGCAACCTTATAGAAGCGCCTTAATTGGATTGTTTAAGATTGCAATCTTATAAAAACGCCTTAATTGGATTGTTTAATATTGCAACCTTATAGAAGCTCCTTAATTGGATTGTTTAAGATTGCAACCTTATAAAAGCACCTTAATTGGATTGTTTAAGATTGCAACCTTATAAAAACCGCATCCTTTTTTAAAAAAAATTACTACACTTCGTTTATGTTGTGCTATACTTTGTTGAGAGTTTTTGTCGTAAAGAGTGTACGTCAATCCACTACAATTAATGCATGATTTAAAGAAAGGACGCGGTCAGCATCCGGGCCAAGCCCGCACACGTAGAAATGCAAGACCCTTATAAATTTATTTTTGAGAAGATTTTTGGATAATTTTTAAGTACATGTAATATCTAACATGGAGATCATGAACATGAATAAATAAATAAATTTTAAAAACAATAAATAATAATTCTATTAAGAAAATATTTAGGGTGTTAGTTTCAATTGGTTTTAGCATCCATCTTTAAGATGGATGCTTTATACTTCTTGACCGCCGCATATGTAGAAATGCGGTCCAATCCCGCATGAAACAATTTTTCTTAAAGTAATATTTCATTTTATTTTTTTTCTGTTTTTTCAAAAAAATTATGTTGTTTTCTGTTTCCAAATTGCCGAATCAACCAAGTTTGATTGGATCCAAGAGGTCGTTGATCCGACCCACTAGTCCAACTTTAGTATAATACAAACACAATACTACACGCAACACGGTTAACAATGAATGCGCATGGCATTATAGAATAAGAAAAACATATAATGAGACTATTTACCTTTAGTATAAGGTTATTGGAATTAATCTTGACTATTGGATGTGAAATTGAGTGGTTGTATTTATTCTATTGATCAAGCTCTTTCAAAATATTTTTTCTTGAACTTTGTGATACATCGAAGTTATCAAATTTCACATCGGGTGGTTATATGTAATTATGATGTTCTTATACCAAAATAAGTGATTTCACTATATACAATCCCTATAAATATCAATTAAAGCCTATAGACAAAATATAATTAATAAATTCTTAAGTATAAAAAGATAAGTTAAGAAACTTACAATCCGGTCAGGATCAGTTAACGAGTGATCCAATGTATGGTCCCCTTGAATCTCTCAATTCTACCATGTTTATTTTTACATTATCACTTCTCTAATGGCTATGAAGGGCGAGTTTTGTATAAAGTGTCAACCTTAAACAATCACATTAAGGTGCACTCCAAAATCTTGTTATAAGACGTATTTTAGGTGCCGAAACTCTTATGATCACCCTAAAATATATTTTTTACTCCTAGGAAATTGCAAGCTCTACAAATGGCATAGATCTAGCAAATGTATGAATACTTAGACATTTTGATAATGGACGGTCAATATACTGGGTTATAAGATGTAATATTATTAATTTTTGAAATTCAAATTTTCTTTCATACTCATATATATCAAAGTGGAGATGATCAATTTCGAGGGTTTTTTAATGATGAAATAACCTTTTCATATGAGTTTTGAGGTGCATCTTATTTGTACAGTATAAGGTTGACACCTTATATAAACTATTTCCTTCTATAAATTCCCACATTAAAAATCATCGGATAGGAACAGTCTTGACTGAGTTAGCCACCAAATCTAGGTTTTATGACACCGCACGAAATTGTTGTATGGGGTCTACGACGCTTACATGCTTTTACCTTATTGATCTTTATTCTATGTATACCGCGTGTGATTTACATATTTTACATGTGAATCCCTTGTCCAGATATACAAGGTAAAAATAAATACTATTGAGATTAACAATGTGATTTAAAAAACTATTGAAAAAAAAAGACGCCCAAAAAATAAGGTCGAGGAGGGATCTACAATTTCCCCCGTTGCACTAAGCATAATGATAACACTCTTCAAACTCCGATTGTAAAAGTAATTGGCACATTCTTGTATTAAATTAAATAATTGTATGTAACTTCAATGTTAATAAATGCAGCATAACATGTGCATTATTATGCACATGGAAGTTGTACTAGTGATGCTGAAGCATGTAGACCCGCACTCAAACTTATTGATCCTTGCATTAGGGTTCGGGCAGGTCCTTGTGTGGCCTCAACTCATCCATGATCTTGAGACACTGGTATTAGGGTTCGGGCAGGTCCTTGTGTGGCCTCAAATCATCCATGATCTTGAGACACTGACAACACATATTGATGTGGGAGCATTGCATATTTTGGCATGGCATATTTTGGCATGGCACAGCCATAATTACAGTGACGTCTAAATTGTTGGACAGATGTAGCTCCTCAATTTTATATTTAATGGTCAAGATTAATTGTCACGTTATGTATCAAAATATGAATAGTCTTATTTTATACTCTCTTTCTCTCTAAATAATCAAATTAGAACCCCTATAAAAAATTTCACTAAAAGAAGTTGTTTTGATGTTCAAATATTTTAAAATTAATCATTTCGACATCAAGATACATAGACATAAGAAAAAAATTGGATTTCAAGTTATGAAAATACTGCATCTTGTATTACGTTTTTTAAAAATAATGCATCTTCATATCAGAGATCTTCTTGATCTATACTATTTTGAAGCTTTAAATTTTATAATTAGAGATGAAAATATATTTTGGGTGTATGCGTAGCTTTAACGATAAGGCTAATATTCACCCACCCCAATGATTGCAACTCTTTTACTGAGAAATAAAGACCCATGCATAAGACGATAGCGTGGTTGTTGCGGGCTGAATAAAGACCCAACCCACCCATTCCTTGATTACCTTTTATCAAGCCATTTTAGGGCCAGTAATATAGTTGGATCATTGAATGAAATGGTACATTTGCTGTCATGGGGGGCAAAAGTGAAAGCAACCCTTTTTTTTTTTTTGGGTGAATCTGTGGGGAGAGGACCCCTACCTTGACAGAAATTGAGTCTAAGATGTAGCGTTGCACATCGTCAAGCGCTAACCAAATAAGCCCAGGCTCTTTTCCAAAAGTGAAAGCAAACTTCAATTGTTGCATGTGTGTACAGCACGAAAGTGGCAAGCTCCCACTTCATGTGAAATTGCCAGGCGTGAGAGTCAAATACATGGAGGTGCGTGCTACTGTTACAAATACTTAAGAGCTCATCCTCTAATTCATTGCCTGAGAATCTCAAAATCTTGAGGCCGTGAATCAAAGTTTGAAGAATTATGCATGTAGTTTAGTAACGAAGTAAAACTGCCGTTCATTGGCAAACTTTTGGCTGATCAAACACTAAATATTCCCATAATATGACAAAAAAAAAGTGATCAAGCTTTCTTTTGGACTGTCTCCAAGAGCTGCTAAGCTCTAAACGGAAAAGCGGGCCACCAAAGCTTGTCTTGCATACAATACGGTAAGGCAAGGTCACTCAATAATGGATACCATGAACTGCAGATGAAGCAAGCCATCAATGAAGTAGGGGCTATCATCCTCCACGAATTTGGACCATGAGATGTTAAAGACGTTGGACCAGCCATAGAGCTCCTCCTTGGTGAACGTGCGTGTGAATGACAAATCCGGATTTGATAAATACCTTGATGCCAACGGCCCAGTAAACTTGAACTTAGCCTTAACACTCTCTATGCGCTCAACTCCCATGTGCAGACCAAAAAATTTGAAACCATTCTCCTGATCCTTGCATTCTGCGCAAAGGTACAACTTGTTGGCCCTTAGATGGAACCGGTCTGAGTATATGCTTCCCTCTGGAAATAGGGAAGGGGAAGTACATTCCTCTCGCCGCAGATCAAACAACACGATGCATTCATTGTAGGGTGTCTCCAACTCCACCACCTTCACAGGGTGGAATATGTAGGTGTGGTCAGCCATAAGAGCCCGCTGTTTTTGTGGGGCCTGAGCCTTAAATAAAATGGCATCCAACACCACCTTTGAGATGAGCCCATGTTCCAAATCTTCTCATTTGCGGATTTCTTTCAGCATGTGCTTCGTTAGGTAAGGGAATCGGATGAGGGGGATAAGTTCTGAGCCTAAGATCTCACGTCGCTCTTGAAGCTCGAGGTATTTGGCACGTGCCCACCTAAGGGCAAAGTTAAACACCTCGTCCTCTGACGGCAATAGTAGCTTCGATAACAACTGCGCAATGGCCGGTAGAGATAGGGAGATCAACTCCTCATCCTTGCACCTGTTGGCAAATAACAATGCATTGCAGCTGAAACAGTGAGGAGAGGATAAGAACTCCAACTCAATACAAATTATCAAATTAAGACTCTACACTTTCTTCCATGGGAAACCATCTAGTGTTTCAAAGCCATCAAGACAAACATGGCAGGGATTGGATCATAAATATGCACAAGCAGGTAGTAAAATGCCTATTTTGGCCTTGAATCACCTAGATTTTTTTTTTTTTGGGGGGGTGGGGGTGTATTTTAGACCTTTCAAATTTTTGAAAAAATTGACTAAAATCAATTGTAACTGTATTTGGAATGCTGAAGCAACCTAGTTTTGGGCTTTCTACACACTAAAGAGAGTCCGGCTGTGCGTTTCTCAAAATGAGAAATTAAAAATTTTCTCGCTTCAAGAAAATGTAGATCAGTTTACCAATTGGAACAGATATTTTCAACTTAAAACTTCAATAACACTAAAAGGGGGACTCTTCCCCATAAAAACCAAAAACAATATAGTTCTTAAGAGTATTGCATTTTGGCAGTACCCTACCATCTTTGCATCCAAGACATGACAAGTGGTTTTTAGGATTCATACCATGGCACTAACAGTATCCAGTAGCCATCAACAGCACTAGAGGAGACAATAATCCAATAGTGGGACCCAGTAGAACAAATAATCAAAAAAACCAAATCCAGTAGCGGCACACAATGCCTGGCCGGACAATGCCTGACCATCATCACTAATGACAAGAACTTTTTAGGATTCGTAAGTTTAACTCATTAAATTACCAATGCCTGTAGGATTTGACAGTCCAAACACTAGACTTGATGGTTACTAGTGATTTTCGTGAATGGGCAATTTAACAATATTAAAGAGGAGAAAGAGTAGATGATTGATTCACAAACAAGATTTTCAATGTCAATTCAAGACATTATTGCACCAGGAGATGAATATACAAGTGTGGTTTCAATGTTAAGGTATATTAGGTCCCTTAGGAACAAGTGGGATAAGAAGAGAAGGGTAATTCTAAATGTGAATAACCCATCCTTGATTTTCTCTTTGGAAGGAAACTGGTGAAGGCCAACGCCCACAAGAAGCTTCCAAAGAGGGGTAATACTAAATGTCATTAAGCCATCCTTAATTTTGTATTTGAAAGGAAACTGGTGAAGGCCAACACACACAAGAAGCTTCCAGAAGACCTACTTGGCGATATCCATTGAACTCAAGTCACCATAATGCACAAAAGGACTATATGCTAGCACATTAGATGCCATAGAAGGCCTCCCTAACCCAGAAGCAGGTGAATGACACTCGATCTTAGTCAAAAGTCTCAGAAAGGAATACGATAATATTCATAAGGACAAAATGACAGCAACATCATAAGGCAATAATATGTACAAGATACATATCATTCTTTGAAATCATCACATGAGTCTCGACCAACAATTATTGAATTCTTTACGAAGAAAATAAGCCCAGATAATGACACATACAATAGATGTGCCTTCAAGTTCATTTCTGAAGAGATGTAGTGAGTTTCTTTATTCATACAGGCTGTACATGTTCCTTCTAACGGGATTGAGATAGATTTTAGTACTTCAATGCAGTGACTAAACATACCACTCAATCCTTTCACAGCACATTTTCAATTGTAGAATACCAGTGACTCCTCAAAGAAAACAGAAAACTTCAAGATACATCGATTGCAGAAAATCCAGGTCAGATCATGTCCAGATGCTAGGTTAAACAAGAATTGTTCCAGAGAATCGGGTTTTTACAGAACACATCCAAAAGCCCAGTTGTTGTGCAAACACTCCAAACTGATAGTTTCATCATATTTGGATTTAGGGGAAGCCTGGTACCTCAAGGACTTTTCAAGAGGTATTCACTACATAAACTTAAAAAAGTATTCTACTGATTAGAAGAGAAACATTTATCTTTAAAAGGTTGTGAGATCTTAAAAATCCATAGATATGCACCCAAGATACTGCTTTATTCTGATATTTTACAGGATACTTCGGAGTGTGATAATTTTATATTTCAAATTGTCTTGATGCTTGTTCAACTTTTCCTGCTTGTTAATTATTGAACACTTAACAAAATATTCAAAAAATCAAAATTGGGTTTGGGTTTTGGAAACTTCATATGGAATCCAACAAGATTATTGGATTGAGTAAGAGATTTCTCCATCCCCTAAGGCCCCATTTAGATGGACCAAATATTTTGAACAGCAACCGTGTTTTCCTCCAGCCATGTAGAAGTATAAGTGGCCCAGCTTGGTCCATTCCATGATTCAAAGGTGATTTAATTTTGCTATAACCTCACTTCTCAACAAATGCCACCAAACACCTCTGACACTGCAGAAAAAAAAAAAAATTCCCCCATTTATAGATAACTTGCTTGGTTTGTCAAAGTTGTTCAAGCCATCCAAATGGGACCTAAATCATTCAAAACTCTTTGAAGCAAAAATAGTTGTTATAGGATACCCCGTATTCTTAATATCAGGTATATCCCAAACCATCTTTCTTAAGGACTCCTAACCTCATTATATTCTATACTCTCACTATAGGTCCCACATCTAGTTCATTGACACAGATCCCACCCTTAGCCGCTGCTTAAATACCAGTAAAAACAGAAGTGAATTTATCTCCACAACAAGTTTCATTATCACCATAAGGTGTGGGCATTCCCCATGTCACAATATATTGTGGGCTTATATGTACATGGTCCAATCATTTTGGTAATAAAGGGACATTAACCATCATTATTAACATCACAATCAATTCAATATTCAAGCCTTTCAAGAAAGAAAGTTTTTTTAATGGTAAGCAAGGGGAAACAAAAAATGTAGAAATTAATTATGAAAGCATGCAAGAAAGAGAGAATGCGTGCTAAAAAAACTCACACTGATGCTCGGCAATGGTAAGCAAGGGGAAGCAGACAATGTAGAAATTAATTATGAAAACATGCAACAAAGAGAGAATGCGTATTTAAAAAACTCACACTGATGCTCAGCAAGGCATTGCTTAGCAGCATCTGTGAAAAATTGTGCTGCATCTAACGTTTTATAAGGAAATTCTAAATATTGTGAGGCACATGCTGGTGTCTTTGGGAAACTACTCAGCAATAGGCTACATTGGCAAATGCATGAAACGACATCAAATTTGTTGGCAATCACCATCAGGTTCATTAGAAGTTCTGGAGTACTTGATGATAGTGTCCCACAGTAAATAAACTCCAGATGTGAATTTATCTCCACAACAAGTTTCATTATCACCATATGGTGTGGGCATTCCATATGTCGCAATATATTGTGGGCTTATATGTACATGGTCCAATCATTGGAAATAAAGGGACATTAACCATCATTATTAACATCACGATCAATTAAATATTCAAGCCTTTCAAGAAAGAACGAAAGTTGTTTTAATGGTAAGCAAGGGGAAACAAAAAATGTAGAAATTAATGATGAAAGCGTGTAAGAAAGAGAGAATGCGCGCTTAAAAAACTCGCACTGATGCTCGGTAATGGTAAGCAAGGGGAAACAGATAATGTAGAAATTAATTATGAAAACATATAAGAAAGAGAGAATGCGTACTTAAAAAACTCGCGCTAATACTCGGCAAGGTATTGCTTAGCAGCATCTGTGAAATATTGTGCTGCATCTAACGTTTTATTAGGAAATTCTAAATATTGCGAGGCACATGCTGGTGTCAATGGGAAACTACTCAGCAATAGGCTACATTGGCGAATGCATGAAACAACATCAAATTTGTCGACAATCACCATCAGGTTCATTAGAAGTTCCGGAATACTTGCTGATAGTGTCCCATAGTACATAAACTTCAGTCGATCCATGAAAGCTTTCTCCTCTAATTCAAACACAAGATATATCAAGTTTAGTGTTATTTGGTGTGCTATAACTATTGGGTTCTCAAATAGAATATATATGCACATTCACACTAATGGGAAGGTTTGCATATGCAAGGGCACAAACATACTATAAACTAGGCTGCAGATTAATGGTTTCCTTTCAATTAAATTTTATTTTCATAGAAACTCTCTATCACAGGCATATTGCTCTAGATAAATTGGAAATACCCCAAATTAAATTAACCCAAATAAGTGATATTTCATCCTTCTCATATAATTTTTTGACATTCATTAAAATCATTGTGAATCCTTCCAGGCCCTTGCTAGTCAAATTGAAATTCTACAACAGTATTAAGTTTCTTGTAAACAAGTGTAGGAACGTGCTGGTTTTTAAAACTTCCCAAATTCCAGAACTTATCATGACTAAATTACCGCAACAAATGTGAAAATGTAACATAGAGGTTGACAACACTGAAAAAATGAAATTTTAGACCTAAAAGTATCATCTGTGGTGCAGAATGGGCAGATAATCAAAATCTTACAGGACAGGCCAAATGCCTTTGAAACCTCACATAAGAAAGGTTGGGAAAATCTTTCCCGATATGTTTTCATGTTAATGATCAAAATATAATTTCTTATATATCATATTGAACTTACCAGATGCATTGATGCGTAGTGTCACAGCTTTCTGGTGGGATTCTTGCATGCCATTACAGAAAGGCTTCAAAACCAAGATCCATGTCAGTTATTTCACCCATAAAAGCTAAACAAACAAGTTTGCATGATGGTCCTTTGGGATCCATAAGAATGCTTTATCAGATTTTAATCCTAGTTCTTGTTAATATTCCTCTAAAATAGCAATAATCTTCTATTATTCTATATATAAAGCATGAGCAGGTTTGAGAACAAGTGTCAATCAAGAAATAGTTTTCAAGGTTAGGAGCTTGGTTAGGAGGTTGGTTTGGATAAACATTTATAATTTTTCATGCGTGGTAAAGTACGCTGTATCTATTATATACTAAGTTCACATAGAACCATTTGTATTATCCCGGGTATATTCTACAGTGATTGAAAAGTAGATATATAATTTTCAAAAAATAAAAACTTAATTTTTTAAATTAAAAGTATTCTTTTGTGATTAAAAATGAATTTCTAAATATTACATCTAGAAAAATACTTATCAATTGTGATAGAATAACAGTGTAGTATGCTCCCATAAGAGCAATTATACACATTTGAAAAACCAAAAGAGTATAGAATTGATTGCCACATGACGTGGCAAAAGCAACAATAATTACTTTCTCTTTTTTACAACATGACCAACATCTTTAAACAAACAAAAATTGAGTCCTTAATCACTTCTCTTTGGTGAACTACGACAAAAGCACAATGAAGGTGGCATTGATGGCTTTGTGTTCTAAAGGCCATAGAGAGATCCTTAATCTCTTCTCTTCGGTGAACTACGACAAAAAACAACCTTTGGCTTCTCCCTCGCTCTCTTTCCGAGCCACCCTTTCGCGGGACCCCTATACCAGGAGTCCCCTAGACTGGCCTCCTCAACCTCCCCATGGAACATCCGCGGCCTGGGACAGCCACGCAAACGAAATGTAGCGAGAGACGTGTTCGCTAAACACTGCCCCTCTGTCTTAGCTCTAACTGAGACCAAAATACAGGATACCACACTTCAGGTGATCCATTAGGTCTAGGGCAGGAAACCCTGTCAGTGGCTCTCTCTACCCACGACAGGGTCTTCAGGTGGTATCTTGGTGGTCTAGAATCCTACGGAACACAATCTGATTTCCTCGCACATTGGGGTATACTCGGTGACGATGCTACTTTCTAGATGGTCAGATGGGGTCCTGTGGAAATTTTCTGCAATCTACGGTCAAAACTCAGCCCAGCTTAGAACTCTTCTTTGGGCTAAAATGGACTTCATAGCATCCCTCCCTCACCACTCGTGGTGCTTGGGAGGGGACTTCAACACAACTAGATGGTCATTCGAAAGGAACTCCAACTCCAACATTTCCCAAGGAATGCTGGACTTTCGGACTTCATATCTCATAATGAGCTAATAGACATCCCGCTTCAAGGGAACCCGTTTACTTGGTCCGACCACGGCTCCCAACCTAAACAATCCAAACTGGTAGGTTTCTCATCTCCCCCTCTTGGGATGAGATATTCTCCAAGTCCCATGCTTTAGCCTTGCCTAAACCTACTTCTGACCATTGCCCTATCCTCCTGGACACCTCAGTTGTCCCTAGAGGTCCCAAACCGTTTAGGTTTGAACTCGCTTGGCTTGAAGAAGAAGCTCTGGCTTCACTAATTCCGGTATGGTGGAATTCCTTCTCGACCCAAGTCTCAGGTAGAGCTGGCTTTAGGCTACAAAAAAAACTCCAACTTCTCAAAGCCTCCCTTAAAACATGGATTTCCTCCCTTCCAAGAAATTTCTCACTGACTAAGAATAGCCTGTTGAATGCCATCCAGGCTTTAGATGTGACGGAGGAATCGAGGCCTCTATCGACCTCTGAGGCTAGCCTTAGATCGAACATTAAGTTGGACTATCTTGCTACCCTGAAAAAAGAAGAGTTGTACTGGTACCAGAGATCCCGAATTACTTGGCTTAAATCAGGAGACCGGAATACCGACTTTTTCACAGAATAGCAAATTGTCAAGGACAAGATAACTCCATCTCCACGATTAAGGATGGCAACTTGTTCTTGAACTCTGCCACGAATATTGAACTTACCATCCTCAATTACTTCCAGAATCTTTATTTAGCCCCATTGTATCACAAACCGAGAATGGATAATCTTCCCTTCTGATCTCTCCCATCTCACTGGATTGATTGGTTGGAACGGCCTTTCTTCGAGGCTGAAATCTTTATAGAGATTGAGGACCTGGGAAAAGACAAGGCCCTCGGTCCAAACGGATTCCCAATCGCCCCCTTTAAAACCTTTTGGGGTACCTTTAGGAACGACTTCCTTCTTTTCTTCGAGGAATTCTTCTATCGTGGAAAATTGCTCAAAGCCATCAATGCCACCTTCATTGTGCTAGTTCCTAAGATAGAAGGGGCTGAGGAATTGAAGGACTTTCAACCTATCAGCCTGGTTAACTCTACATATAAAATCCTATCCAAAGTGTTGGCCTCCAGGCTCAAATAGGTTCTTCCCCTTGTCATCTCCCCATCACAGTCAGCCCTTCATCAAGGACCGACAGATACTGGACAGGGTACTGGTGCCCCGCGAGCGTATACACACTCGCCACCGCTGGAAAAACCTGGCTTAATCTTTAAGATAGACAGGGAGAAGGCTTACGACCATGTGGACTAGCCCATACTCGACCTAGCATTGTCGACGATGGGATTAAGGGAGCGTTGGAGAAACTAGATGAGGGGATGCTACTCGAATCCTTTCTTTTCTATCCTCATTAATGGGACACTAAAAGGGTACTTCCCTTCCTCCAGGGGCCTTCGCCAAGGAGAACCTCTCTCTCCTTTCCTCTTCACCATGGTGGCAAAAGTTTTTAGCTAGTCCATCTCCCGCATGTATCAAGAGGGACTCCTCTCTGGCTTCAAGAGCAGTAGGAATGGCCCGAGTGTATCTCATCTACAGTATGCAGACGATACGTTAGTCTTCCTGGATGCAACCCTCGAGGAAATCGAAAACCTCTTACTGTTTTTGATCTGTTGTGAGCATGCGACGGGGTTCAAAGTTAACATGGCCAAAGTTTGGTCTTTCAAAGCCCCTCCAAAAGTTCAAGCCTTTCACTGGATTACGCGTTTCGAATGCACACTTACTATAGACATACTCCAGGGAAGAGATGTCCAAACTCCCAATAGGTGCGTCATGTGCCTATGCAAGGAAGAAACGAAACCCGCACTTGTTCATTCAATGTCAGTTTGCCCTTCAACTTTGGAGTAAAATTATCCAACTTTTTGGAATATCTTGGGTACCCCCCCTTCAATTCCGACCTGACTTCTTGCTCCTTCGAATCTAACTGGCCGAAGTCGGGCAAGATCCTCTGAAAATCCTCTTTAGCCACAACGTTGTGGACCATCTGGCTAGAAAGAAATTCGAGAATTTTCCGTGGTATCAAAAACGAACTTCCAACTCTGTTTCACAAGGTTAGTTAAATGGTAATCTTTTGGGCTTCCGACCACAATCTGCTCACGGGGATTTCGGCGGCTAGTTTCCTTCGCAATTGGGTGAACCTTATTCAACTAACCTCTCACCGCAACCCAAGAGTATCGAACTGGACTTCCCCCGGGTGGGTGATATTAAGTTCAATTTTGATGGATGCTCCATGGGAAATCCAGGCCCAACGGGCGCAGGAGGAGTCTTCCGTGACCATAACGGTGAAGTCATATCATCCTTCTCAGAACACCTTGGTCACCAAGACTCACAGTTCGCATTGTTGATGGGAACCAAGAAATTTAACCCCTCTTGTCCCACGGCTGCACATTAGAGGGAGATGCCAAAAACGTTATATCTTGGGCTGCTAGAAAGGCCCCTCCGCCTTGGTACCTAGCACACATTTTTGACGAAATTGAGAAAACTTGCAGGGGTATAAATGTCTCATAGACGCATATTTGAAGGACGTCCAACAACTTCGCAAATCGCCTTGCCAATGAAGCAGCTAGGAACCAGCCTCATGCACACATCTAGATGCATACAACAGGGAGTCCATTATCATTAGCACGGCGGGGAGGCCCCCTCTTTCTAGATTGTCGTCTTCTATCTTGTAATGGGCACATTCTAATAAGCCCCTATCTTTTGCTTCACTGATAATGTTAGAGCCAGTTTTTTAGAACAGGTCACTCCCTAGTGACCAATTTTTGGTTGAGAGACCCGGTATGTGGGTTACCTCGACCCTTACTTTTGTAAAACTCTTATTATTATAATATTTACCGTTAAAATTTTCAAAAAAAATAAAAAATTGAGTCCTTGAATATCTAATAAAAGTAATGGATGAAGTTCCTTAAGGCCTGAGCTTTATGAAAACAAAATAAAGCCACACCTCAAATCCTCATTCCAAAAAGCACTTCAAGAGTCGAAAATCTCCATTATGGCTCGAAAATCAATTTTCAGCACCAACAATAAAATTTGAAGCTCAAAAAATATTATAGATCTTGCGGATCTATGAACACTAATTTTTCGGGTAAAATGGATGGTCTAGAAGATTTGTTGCAATATACACTATTTTTAAAATTTGAAATCCTGATTTTTCTTTTTACAACCATAATATTCAAGCCGAGATGATTGATTTGAAAGTTTTCATTGCATGAATTGCAATTTTATGAATTATGAGGTGAGGGTTTATTTATTTTGATAGTACTGCAGCCCTATCAAATCATTACATTATAAAATAAAAATCATTTCTAATTTAATCGATTTAAATTTATAGCATTTCCTAATATTTGTTAAAAAGCTATAGTTATATATATAAGATAAAATTTCTTAATTATCATTATTTGAAGGAAAATATAATAAAATATTTAATTATTTGAAACAAATTATTTCTCCGAGTTATAATTTCTTGAGTGAAAATTCCCTAAAACAAAATTTATTTTTATATAATATTTTGTAAGTAATTTTAATTTGCATATCACTCCCATATTATAAGTTAAATTATGAATATTTAAAATATAAAATAATTTCACTTTATGAGCAATTTTGGATGATCAAACTTCAAATCTTAATTGATAAACAAAATGAATTTATGTGTATATTATACAACATAATAAATTGGGGGCGCCCGGGCATGGTTGGTTGCTTACTTTTTAATTACCATAGTTTATTTGAAAATACAAGAAGTCTTTCATTCTGAAAAAAATCTTTTACCTGCTTATAATTTTATTAAGGGAACTTCTCTAAAATGAATATGGATTTTATAATAAATTTCAATATATACTAAGTAAACTATACTTTTTTTATTGCTTTTAAATATTTATTTTAAAAAATATAAATACACATATTATACAATATAATAAATTGGGGGGTGCCCGGGTATGGTTGGTTGCTTACTTTTTAATTACCATAGTTTATTTGAAAATACAGGAAGTCTTTCATTTTGAAAAAAATCTTTTACCTGCTTATAATTTTATTAAGGGAACTTCTCTAAAATGAATATGGGTTTTATAATAAATTTCAATATGTACTAAGTAAACTATACTTTTTTTATTGCTTTTAAATATTTATTTTAAAAACTATAAATTTCTTATTACAATGATTTCAAATTTAATTAATAAACAATTTAAAGTTATAAATGTAAACTAAGTTTCTTAATTGGCCAATGTAATAATTAATAAACAAAATTAAATTTAAATAACTTTTTATTCATAAATAAAATTATTTTTTATTAAAAGTAAACAAATGACCGCACATTTTCTTTTATTTACTTGGCACTTTAGCGATCAAATAAATAGGTGTATATATCAATCTAAGTTACGATATGGATGTATAAGACTTTACAAGCTCATATATAACTTAAATAATACTAATATGATTACGAAATGTCAATAGGTTATGTATTTCCTCTTGTACATGATCCCTCAACTCAAAATCCTAAGAATAATTTTTAAAAAACTAAAATTTCAATTCTTTTCTTTAAAATATCCATCGAATGATGGATCCTTTAAATCTTAGAATTATTAAATGCAATTAAGTAAGAAAAAAAAGTATTTCTCAAATTAGAAGATTAAATCATAATTTTTTTAAACCAGTTTTAAATAAGTCTTACATTCATGATAAGTGTTTTAAAATAAATTTGGCAAAAGTTGAGCGGCTGGCACAACATAGTGCCACCACATAAATGACTCCGTGTCCGTGGCTCCCCTTTCAGAGGTGGCGTCTTTTTTGGTTGTACAGCACACCCCTTCCTGAGATGCAGCCATTTTTGCTTATAGAGCTCCCAATCTGTGGGAAGCCTATTTTTTGATATGTTGGACTCTTTTACGATATATATAAACAAAAGTTAACATGTTCAAAGAAAAAAAAGCTAAATAAATATAGTTGGAAGCATAGTTGCATCATACCTTGTAAAACTAAGGACTTCTTGCAGCCAAAATTGCAGATACAACATGTAATCTTTTCACTCTTAAAAAATTGAATAATCTTTGCTCCAAGATGGAACACGGTTGTTTTCTATGTCATTCCCTACAATGAAAGTGAGTTGTCAGATGAATAATACTGAATAATAGCAAGGTGATGAACAAATATCCAGAACAAACAAAACAGAACACATCAAAAGTAGAACGAGAAGAGAAGATTTTTTCCAACATGAATGAATCTTTAATCCCTTGGAAGATCATCAAAACATGGTCAAAGTAAGCTATGAAATTTTGATGGATTTCTCTAGATGAAAAAGACTTCTAAAACTGTTGCGAAAGTTTTGAAGGGAGACATAATCATGTCTTCAACTTTCTCGTGCACTTAACAAACATGATGTCATCAGGTTCAAAATTCTTGAACTCAACACCCCTAATTTTCAACCCAAACTTGGCTAACAAACCTTAGGAACCTATCTAAACCTATGAACCTACTTTTGTAGGCAACGCACAACAACCATTGATTTAAGGAAGCTGCAACCAGAGTGAACTTCGATATCTACTTATGGGTTTCCATGTAGAAAGTTTATTTTTAGCCTCACAGCAATAGAGAGGCCGGTTTCTAGTAAAATTACGAGCACATCTTCTTGTTTCAAATGTTAGAGCAAAACATCTTCGAAACTATTACCACAGGCATGAGTATCCTTGATCTCTCATTGAGGCTTTATAACTCTCAAAACATCACTAGGTTTTGGTTTTACCTTGTAGATCAACCTACCCTCAGTTGGCTTCTTTTGAAGCTGACCCCAAGTAATCCTCTGCAAGACCTTTCTTATCCTACATTTCATCAACACCCAAATCAATGGAACAGTATACAAAGAGACCATTTACTTTTGATACAAGGAGGTTGCACTTACTCTTATCCCTCAAATTTCAAATCAGGTGGTTGTAAGGGCGTTATTGACTAGACTGAAAAAAAATTTAAAAAAAATTTCTAACTTCCTGACACACCCCAAGCCATCCAATTTGACATCTAATAATTAGAAATAATTGTGACCTCCTTATATCAAAGATAAATGGTATCATAGTATACAATCCCCATGTTAACTAATTCCTCTCTAGATCCTACACAGATGATCTCCGACTAGCAGTCATGTGATGTTTGTCTGAATTCCCAAGAGCTATAAGCTATTTCACTGGATGAACAGAATTACTCGCCCAGAACGCCGGAATTTCAAAATATCAAAGTTAGCAAAGAAACCCTGACTCTGTTTTTTTATCTATCCCCCATTTCTTAGATCATTATTAGCTCTATCTCATACACGCACAAGGCACACCAAAAATCAACAGCACAAAGTAAACACTCATCAAGCATAACATGATAAACACGATCATAGAGAGAAAAAACGCACTGAGAGCGGGAAAACAAGTAAAGCGCGAAGAGAGAGTACAGAAAGGCAAGAAGGAGAAGGAAAATTCTACCATTCTTTTGTTGCCTGGCCTTCTTGCTTCTTTTCTCATCCTCACAACCGGGTTTGTTATCTTCCATGATTTCAATCCTGAAAACCCTATCCGAGTACCTCGCATCGTCAAATGCAAATGAAAAATCAAGAAGTTCAATGCTGCTGGATTTAGAACTAGAAACCGTCCTCATTAAGCCTCATCGACTGAGAAGCTGAAATCCTCTACTTTCTTTAAATTTTGAAAGATGGTGCTCATGACCAGTGAGAAACGTCAAGACTAATCTAAACGAGTTCGAGTTTAGATTATCTCTTTTCTCTCTCTCTCTCTCTCTCTCTCTCTCTCTCTCGTTTTCTTCCTGTGCAAGAAAGGACCACTCCCCCTCTCTAAAACACTCGTTGGTTTTCTTCATGTTAAGACCTCTCTCCCTCTCTCTCTCTAAAACAAGACGAGGTACTTTTCTTCCCCCTCTCTCTGTAAAAAAAAGACCATAGAGAGGGAAAAATCAATTACTGTTCAATTGAATTAGTTGGAGGGAGGAGAGAGAAAAAAGGGCCTCGGCATTTTTGTCCAAACTTTAGTGGATGAGGTTTCTATAAGGCCTAAGCTCTATGAAAATAAACTAAATTCTCACCTCAAATCTTCGTTCGCAAAGCATTTTTTGCAATAGAAATTTTTATGACTCTAAAATAAATTTCCAATGCAAACAATGGAATCAAAACTGAAAAATGGTGTATATCTTGCGGATCTATGACCATTTATTTTTAGAGCGAAATAGACGATCTAGATAATTTGTTACAATATGTACTATTTTTAAAGCTTGAAATCTTGTTTTGTTTTCACAACAATATTGTTCTATGTCAAGATGATTCACGTAAAAGTTTTTTAAAAAATTGTATGCAATGAGACTATTTACTTTTAATATAAGAATGTTACAATTACTTACAATCATTTGATGTAAAATCTATTAGCTTGGGTATGTCACAAACTTTATTTTGAACTCTGAGTTATTTTGCCTCGCCGATCATTGTTCACTCTTGTTTCTTGAATCCAAGTTTATTCTCCCATATTGTGTTGGTCATTCATTCAATCATATTGCCTATTTCGTTGTTGTTTTAATCATTCATTCATTGTATTGGTTCTAAAGAGGGGTTTAATTTCCGTCATTATTTGTTACGTACAGACTAATAATGGGGATACAATATTTTTTTTAGTCTTCTCAAATTTTTGGGGACTTAATTATTTATTTATTTATTATGGGTGTATTTTTTTATCTGTAATTTTATTAGTGTTAATTTGTTAAAAATAGGATTAGTATAAGATTCTTTTAATTAGTTTAATACTTATTTTATTTATGAGTCCAATTTTTATTGAGTTGTTTTAGAAATGCTTATGTATCTTTGAAGCTTCTCTTATCCTTGACTAGGGACATGAGATAATTGGAAATCTCTTTTAGATATAGAAAGGAAAAATAAGTAGTAGGATAGTAGTATATTGGATGGAAGATTTTTGAAAGGGAACCCTTAATAAAGGATTCACGTAAATTGTAGAGGATTGATTTTCATTTATTGAAAAAGAAAGTTTGTTTTTTGTAAAACGAGAGAGCGCACGGGTTTATTTCCTCTTATGCTTGTGGGCCTGTAGTGAACGACTCAGATCGGCACGTTTATTTCTTATTTTTGTTGATTTCTTTTCATTTTTTATTTCTCTCTAAAAGATGGTTGTTTTGCCATTGTTACTGGGTAATTTTATGGAGTACTTGGATCCACACGTTTGTTCCTTCTTGTTGATTTTCTTTTAAGTTTTTATTTCTCTCTCTATGATATCCTTCTAAGTTTTTTAAGTTTTCATATATCTGTCGATCTAGATTATTTTTGAAGCTTTAAACTTTATAAATAAAAATGAAAATATATTTCAAAGCTATTACAATGATTTCCCGTAATAAAACCATGCTATTATAATATAATGAAACCATGCCAGTTTAGCGGCTCCGCTCTATGCAAACCAGACTTCGGACTCAAAACATAAACCGACTCTAGACTCGAAAATAAATCGGACGTTTAGAGCCTTTGCTCTATGCAAACCGGACTTCGAACTCAAAAATAAACCGACTCTGGACTCAAAAATAAACAGATAAATTGGACATCCGGACTCTGGACTCAAAAATAAACGGACTAAAAAATAAATTGGACATCTGTTTGTTCAGAGGCTCCGCTCTATGCAAACCGGACTTCGGACTCAAAAAAAAAAACGGACTCTAGAGTCAAAAATAATTGGACGTTTAGAGCAACCGGACTCCGAACTCAAAAATAAACGGACTCGAGACTCAAAAATAAACGGACATTGGACTCAAAAATAAATTGGACATCCGGACTCTGGACTCAAAAATAAACGGACACTGGACTAAAAAATTTGGCAATAAACGGATTTTGGACTCAAAAATAAATTGGACATCCAGCAAAAGTCGGACTCCGGACTCAAAAATAAATTGGACATCCGGCAGAAGTCGGACTTCGGACTCACTCCGAACTCAAAAATAAATGGACTCCAGACTCAAAAATAAACGGACACTGGACTCAAAAATAAATTGGACGTCTGGATTAGAAAAAAAAATAAATTGGACATCCAAAATAAACGGACTCAAGCCTCGGCTCTAAACCGGACTCCGAACTCAAAAATAAACGGAAACTAGACTCCAAACTCAAAAATAAACGGACACTGGACTCAAAAAATAAAAATAAACGGAAACAGGACTCCGAACTCAAAAATAAACGGACACTGGACTCTAACTCAAAAATAAACGGACACTTGACTCTAAAAAATAAAAGACAAACGGACACTGGACACTTGACTCAAAAATAAACGGACACTTGACTCTAAAAAATAAAAGACAAACGGACACTGGACCCTAACTCAAAAATAAACGAACACTGGACTCTAAAAAATAAAAATAAAAGACAAACGGACACTGGACTCTAACTGAAAAATAAACGGACACTGGACTCTAAAAAATAAAAATAAAAAATGGTTGTCCATATGAGTATGGAGCTCTAGAGTTTGATTGGGCAGTCCACGCACCAATGTGTTATCCTTCCACTGCCAAGAGGAGGAGGTAATCGCTGCTCTGTGAAACCAGCCTCACGCATTCTCCTCCATTCTAAGTCCGAGCCCACCCTAAACCTTCGGTTAGAGGAGCAAAGCCGACTCCTGGCTTGGAAAGGACACATCGAATCAAGCGCAACCAGCCCACCCAAGAGAGCCAAATCACAGTTCAACCACCTTGTGTACCCTCGCTTGAGTTACAAGCCCACGCTACCGAGCCCGGTGCTTATACGTCTTGGACTTGGAACTTTTATTTGTTTTAAACGTCTTGTGGGGCTTTGATGTGGGACTGAAGTCACACTCTTCCCCTCATGTTTATTTCTACCTCTCTCTATTCCTTCCAAATATGTCTCTAATTCTATCCGATTAAAATCCAAGTTTATTCTCCTCTTCTCTCTCTTCTTTCTCTCCCCCTCTCTCTCTCTCTAAATTTTTTGTTCTCTTGCTTCTCTCTCTATGTAATCTTCATTTCCTATTTGTTGCATTCAGGACTATACCTCCTCCTCTTCTTCTTTTTTCCAAAAAGTATTAACTTCATTCTCTCTCTCTCTAATATACTATATGCTCAGGTTCCAATATATAAGAAAAGTAGTCTATGACTCCGGGGCCAATATAGACAAGAAAAGTAGTCTATGACCCCGGGGCGAGGGCGGTGGTGGTGACAGTGGCCGGTGGCAGGCGGGGGCCGAGTGGGGGCCGGCTTCGGGGTGGGGCTGGCTGCGGGGGCAGGGTATAAAACACTAATTTTCTCCAAAAAAAATTATCCTTTTTGCTTTTAATTTATTTTATTTTTTGACATCAATAATCTTCATTATAGAGACTTTATAATTAGATCAAAATTTCATCTAAAAAATTAGATTAAAAAGACAAGCTGCATATTTACATGTGAGTCATAGGACTCATATAAACGTTATCCGTATACTAGCGGTTTGTTCTTGCATATCTCTACCAAGTTTCCAAATTAACCCCGTAGGTACATATAATTCAGAGGAATATGTGAGTGATTCATACACAACATCTCTTTCTTTTATCAAGGGTTCCGCCAATTTATATGTTTCCCCAAGTAATTGAAATTCAATTTCTTCATCTGCATCTTCAATTTTTGGAAACTTATGAAGTTCTTCTACCAAGCCCTAATCAACAAACCTACAAAATCTTTCAAAATGTATCTGACTAAATCCAAGTATTGTAGACATTCCCTCGTTCCATTCCGAAGCATCTTACTTAAGTTTTCCATTTATTGAAAAATCTCATTATTGGATCACTCTTTATCAAACCATACGGATCGATCCAGCAATGATGGAATGTATATTCTGTTCACTGAATCACATGAAATTTTATCCAACTCCATATACGTATGAAGGAGGGATAAAAAGAATTTTGTACTTCATTCGAATTGGCAACAGTAACAAAGATTCTGGCACTTATTGAGTTGAGCTTTGTTTTTGTTATAGAATAAAAATAGAATAGGGTTGGGTCTTTTCGATCAAATTTCTACCTAATTTAATTATCTTATCTATCCATTATGATAATCAAAGTGGGTACCAGAAAAATAGATTGATTCAGAATTTGATCCTTCTTTATGATACTGATAGAAAGACAGAATAATCAAGAGCATTAAAAAAGGTTAACGCTTAGCTTAGCACTTATTTCGTTTCGTTGATTCCATGGTTCAGTTCACATAAAGAAATTTTGATATTTTCCTATTTGCTATTTCAACCCATTTGCACCCTCCTATTTGCCCCATGTTCCCCAAACAGAGTTATATGTATTAGATTAAATATCGAAGTAAATGAATATAGCCATCTAGCTAGCCACATATTCCATCTTTTATCATAACTCCAATATATTCATGCCATATCATGATTTATTTCTATTTCCTAACTAGGTGTGAAATAATTCTTGTTTGGGGTTTACATATACACAAAGTCGTCATTATAATTATGATTAATTTCATTTGAATATTAATTGAATATTGAATCAATGTAATTTGAATTGAAAATAATTGATAGTAATTAGCTGTGTATCAATTTGATTCTCTTGTGCCATTAAAGAAATAGAGATCCAAGAACCATTCATGAATTCATATTTATTCAACAGTTAATGGTTCCAATTAGTCATGAATTATTTATTCTTTTGTGACTATAAATTATTTATTTATCCTTTTCAATCTAAAAAATGAATCTTTGGGTGTTGTGATCATGATAGACAATCAATCGAAGAAAAAAATTTCAACTTGATCAATCAAATAAAATGTGCATTTTTGGAAAGGGAAAAGGGAAAGGGGATTCAAGATCAAGATGAAATAAAATAAAAAATCATTCATTAATCCCCTTTTTCCATTAACTTTCGTGTTGTTTTGACGGCATGGCCAAGTGGTAAGGGGGGGGATTGCAAATCCTTTCTACCCAATTCAAATCCGGGTGTCGCCTGATCAACAAAGGACTCGAAATCTGTCATCCGACTGATATGACCCGCCTTATTTGTTAACATCATAAGCAAAGGGCTGTCAATATTTTATCTTCAAAACCCAGAGGTTCTATGAAATGAAGACTATAAATTGAAATTGTAATTTTTTCTTTCTTCAAAAATCTGCGTATCGACTTCACCAATCCGTAATAAATGAGGGTTCATTTATTCACTTATTCACATTTGTACCCTTTCGATTGATTTTATTTATCGATCGGATAAAATAAATAGTAAAATTCAATTCTTAGATTCATAAATACGAAAAAGAGTAACGAAACGAAAATCTTGGGATCAGAACAAAGGTTGCTAAGGGCCTCTAAATACTTTCGACTAGAATCCTTGAAGGGTTTATTGGAAGGACTATCAATCCTTTCTTTTCTAATCACTCTCTTAATCTCTATTGGTTGAATCATGAATTAGATTGGATGATCCGATTAGGAATCAGAAGTTGTGTAAAGGAATGAAAATACCCTTATGCAAACTAGGATATGAGTGCTTTCAATATTGGATAAGAAATAAATCGAAATAAAGGTAGAGAATCAAACAAAGTAGAATTCAAAACTTTTTCTCTTCGGTAACACCCGTCCAAGATCTATGTAATATAGTGGATGGCAGGTGGGAATTTCGATTGTGCTTCTATCCATTACTACAGAAATGAGTTCAAGCTTTCCCCAGCCCCTTTTCATCAATGGACTCTTGACATATACGAAGGAGTGCGGTTCATTCGACAAATTTCTACCTCTATATCAATCTCTATCTCTAGCTCAAAGATGTTTGGATTTTTCAAAATTCCATAGACATGCAGAAGAGAAATGCTATCCCCACTCGGACCAAGACATAACGTTCACTAAAGTTGATTGTGATCTTTTTGTTCAAATAACAATTAAGGTTGAGCAGGGTCAGGAACAATCCATTTTGCAAGCTCGTTATTATGGGTAGTTCCTACAAAGGATCAGACTAATGATGTATACAATACTTGAATTCACGATGTAGATGCTACATAGTTGGTTCTCATCCTTCAGAGACTACGAATGTAATAGGAACATCCGTCGACAAAAAGATCGCCCTAAGATGATCATCCCATAGCTATTAAGAACGAATCAAATCATATGGTTCTATTTCCCAATCTTTCTGACATGCTCCTACTGAACTTAGGTCGAAAAGATTGAAAAAAATCAGTCATTCACAACCACTGATGAAGGATTCCTCAAAAGTTAAAGATTAATATAGTAATCTTTTTTAGAAATCGAATGGATTCGTTCTTATACATACGCGAGAAAGGTAATCAAAAAAGAAAGAACTCATCTTCTTTCTTTTATCACGTAGGAGTCATGCGAGATGAAAGTCTCATGCACAGTTTTGAATGAGAGAAAGAAGTGAGGAATCCTCTATTTTACTCTGACTCTCCCACTCCAGTCGTTGCTTTTCTTTCTGTTACTTACAACGTAGCTACTTCAGCTTTAGCCACTCGAATTTTCGATATTCCTTTCTATTTCTCATCGAACGAATGGCATATTCTTCTTGAAATCCTAGCTATTCTTAACATGATATTGGGGAATCTCATTGCTATTACTCAAACAAGCATGAAACGTATGCTTGCATATTCGTCTATAGGTCAAATCGGATATGTAATTATTGGAATAATTGTTGGAGACTCAAATGATGGATATGTAAGCATGATAACTTATATGTTGTTCTATGTCTCCACGAATCTAGGAACTTTTGCTTACATTGTATCATTTGGTCCACGTACCGGAACTGAAAACATTCAAGATTATGCAGGATTATACACGAAATATCCTTATTTGGCTCTCTCTTCAGCCCTGTCGCTTATCCCTAGGACGTATTCCTCCATTAGCAGGTTTTTTCGAAAAACTCCGTCTATGATGGTGAGGATGGCAGACGAGCCTATATTTCTTGGTTTCGATAGGACTCATCTTCATGTTATTTACTAACAATTCATGGACCGCAACTACGAAATACTTGGAATACCCTTCATTTTCAAATGCGCCTTCTTACATCCCTATACATGTGTGTTGCTGCAATTACAACAATATTTATAAAACTACAAGGCAAATGAGATTGAATAAATTTGATTGAATATAAGCAAAACTTAAACATATAATGAAATACACAACTAAATAATTTACCCACAACCGGGAGCAGGTGGGGTTATTGACAGCTTCAATAACATTGCGTTGACGTTCGCACCAATCCCTAATCTCCATGTTCAACTCATCCTCCCAATTTGTGGGGTGCACACCAACCTTCTCCCTCCTATCCCACTTCCAAGGCTCAGCAAGAATCCCTTGGACCTTCCCAAGTTGCCAAAGCATGCGATCGGGCATGTAATACTCTGCTATATTAAAACTGAAGAATGACCGGTAAAATGCAGCTTCCTTGCTGATTTGGTCTAATTTTCTATAGTCCTCTCCTCGAGGCTCCTCATATGGCTCCCAATTCACCTTGAGAAAACAAATATGCCACCATAAAAACTCATATAAATATATGATTCCTTAGTAAACTACAAAAATAGAACACCACCACTATTCCGTGCAAATGTGATGTCATCAAACACTTTCTCTGGGTGTTTCTGGCTCGGTTGTTTAACCCACGTGCAAGCTCTAGGCATTTTCGAATCTACTTGTATCGGCTTAAGGGGTTTAATCATAAAGTGCTCATAGCTCCAGCACTACACCAAACATGCACAAAAAAAATTTCTCTTATAAGCCACCAATACATGCACAAAAAAAAGAAGTAAAAACCTAGAAAATAGGTTAAAATTACCTGAAGGTGCTTTTACTACTTATTTTTTAAAAAGGTATTTTTAAGAATGGTTACTTTTAATACGATCTTTTTATTTTTGATGAGACAGTTTGAAAAAGAACAATAGGAAAAGAATAAAAGGAAAAGAGTAAAAGGAAAATGCGCAAACAGTTTGAAAAGGAAAACAATCTGTTTATTTACAAGTTTCTCTTTCATATTCCCCATAATTAAGGATGATGAGACAATTTGAAAAAAGAATAAAAGGAAAAGAGTCAAGTAAAAAACAAACAAAAGGTGAAAATGCGCAAACATGGTAGACTGGGATAAATGAATCTGAATTGAAAAAAATTGAAAAAAATTGAAAATACAACAATATTTTAGAAAAAGGGAGATGAATTTAAATTGGGTATTGTTGATAAATAACTATAAATCACCATCAACAACAGGAAGAAAAGCCCAACGAATATAACTTACTGTAAATCACACAGATGCCCCAAGTCATAGTCAAGGACCATTTGAACAATATAAAATTGAATCGATTTCCCCAATTAATCATAAGTTTTTCATAGATAAGTTCATGCCATCATCGCAAATTAAATACATATAAGTCATCACCAATAAAAAGTAAAATGGGTAAATAGATTTTTAAATAACCATTAAATCATGAATCATGCAATCTATTCGGACAGAATGCTAAAAAATAACAGCATAAAATCCAAAACCTATACAAGAAAAAAGTTTGGAAAATGACAGCAAATGGATACTAAAAACACAAATTTCACAGTAAATCATCACAGAGTGAAATATTAAACCATACATAAGTTCCCAAATTACTACAAATAGGATCAGGGCACTAGCAGAGTGTAATCTATGAAAAATCAGCAGTTCCAAATGAGGGAATTGAAGAAACCCTAGAAAAAAAGCCAAAACGGAGAGGGTAGAAGAATTTACCATCAAATCTCTCTTCAAAAATCCAAAAACAATATAAGAAAGAAGTCCGGAAAATGACAGCAAATTGACACTAAGAACACGAAAGCCCAAATGTCTGCATTTCACAGTAAATCATCACAGAGTGAAATATTAAACCATAAAAAAGCTCTCAAATTACTACAAATAGGATCAAAGCACTAGCACAGTGTAATCTATGAATAATCAGCAGTTCAAGATGAGGGAACTGAAGCAACCCTTAAAAAAGGCCAAAAGTGAGAGGTAGAAGAATTTACCATCGAATCTCTCTCCAAAAATGATCTCTGAAACTGATAAAGAGAGGAAAAAGCAGAAAGGAGTAGCAGAAGATTCAAACCGTAGCTCTGAGCAAAGACCCCATGCCTCCCCGAAAACCCTAGCTCTGCAACTCTACAGCCTTACATCAATCGAAATCCTAGAAAAAACATTGATGAAATCTAATAACAATCCTATCTTCAACACAATGCAACCTCCTGAAGGAGGGAGGGAGAGAGAGAGATCAATTCACACAAAGGACATGCTAGAAAAATCTGATCACAGTACTCACCTTTTTCTCCAATGGAACCACAACTCAATGCAACCTCCAAAAGGTCAAAGCTTTAAGAGAAGAGGATGAGAAAGGATATGGAGAGAGGGAGAGAGAGAGATGGAGTGAGATAGCACAGATGCGCATTTTTTTACTTCTTGATAGGTAGCAAAGGAGAGGGAGAGATAGGGAGCTTTCCCCCACCCCACCCCAATTTTACAGGGGAAAGGTTTTAGGCAACCATTTGAGCCTGTGAACCTACTTTTGTGACAATTTGACTCAAATAGTCTCAGCCACCCATTTCAAATCAACGGTTAAAAAAGAGGGGGAGGATAGTTCTTTTATGCTGTACAGGAAGCATAGAAGACTTCCTACTATATATATATATATATATATATATATATATATATCCAAGCAACATACATTGCTCATTAACATTTAACAGCTGAAAGATGACATCAGAAGCACTAACTTGAGGGAAAACCCCTATAAAGCTTTAAACTTACATCCAAACAAGAACAGAAAGGGAGAACCACTGAAGTCAAAATCAGTGACATCTGAAAGCTATACCAGTATTTCCTCCATTTCAAAGGGAATTCAAAATCAACATACATAACTCTCAAGGCAATTTCACTAAAAGCACAAATTAGTACTCCTAAAAAAAATAGTCTCGAACTTGAGAGCCCAGAAACTTAATTTTATAAAAGAGAGCAGAATAAATACAGTGGCCACATGCAAGCTCTCACTCATATCGGCACTGGCTCTGACAATGCATCTGATGTGCCACTTGCCCCATTAAGCACCGTGACATTACCCTCTGAGTCCACATCCACAATCGCCGAGTCCCCTTCCTTTATCTCTCCAGCAAGCATCTTCTCAGCCAAACTATCCTCCAAGAGCCTCATAATTGCCCTTCTCAAAGGCCTCGCACCATAACTAGGGCTATAACCCTCATCCACAACCCTATCTCTAAATCTCTCAGTAACTTGCAACTCTATTTCCTTTGCCTTAAGCCTCTCAAACACCTCCCTCAACATTATATCAGCAATCTCCTTAACCTCAAGTTTGGTGAGTTGCCTAAAGACTATCATCTCATCAAGCCTGTTCAAGAACTCAGGTCTGAAATATTGCTTGAGCTCCTCTGTGACCAAGCTCTTAATGCGATTATAACTGCTATCCTTCTCATCGTAGTCCAAATCAAACCCAATTCGTCTGCCACCCTTCTCGATTACGCTACTGCCCACATTAGAGGTCATGATGAGCAGCGTGTTCTTGAAGTCGACGGTTCTGCCTTTGCTGTCAGTTAGCCGCCCATCTTCGAGAATTTGGAGCATCATGTTGAAAACATCAGGATGGGCCTTCTCAATCTCATCAAAGAGCACTACAGTGTATGGTCTTCGACGCACTGCCTCAGTTAATTGCCCACCCTCAGTGTAGCCAACATAACCAGGTGGTGATCCAATGAGCTTTGAAACAGTGTGGCGCTCCATGAACTCACTCATATCAAGGCGAATCATGGCTTCTTCAGAGCCGAAATAGTAGGCAGCAAGTGCCTTAGCCAGCTCAGATTTACCTACACCAGTTGGGCCCGAGAAAATGAAGGAGGCAATGGGCCTATTAGGGTTTTTGAGTCCCACTCTGGCCCTCCTGATGGCTCGAGAAATGGCTCTTACTGCCTCGTCTTGGCCTATTACACGCTTGTGAAGGGTCTCTTCCATTTTGAGAAGGCGGTCAGATTCATCGGACGAGACCTTCTCGACTGGGATACCAGTCCATGAAGAAACGATGTGTTGGATGTCGACCTCGGTGACAATGGGACCCAAGGATGAGCCGGACTCGGCCTCAGCCTTGCTTTGCTCCTTGCCCTTTTCAGTGATGGCTGTGATTTGAGCCTTGAGCTCCATCTCGCGGTCACGTAGCTCACCAGCCTATTTACGGAAGAGAGAGAGAGAGAGAGAGAGAGGAAGGTTACGTTAGTTTTAACAGCCAACACAGCGTGCAAGGAAACCTCCCTACCTCTCTCTCCTCCCTCCCTCTCCCCTCTCTCTCTCTCTCTCTTAAAATAACACAGCATGCAAGTAATGTCTCTCTCAAACACAAACACCCATGTGCACACATAAACCTGTACACACATGTATTTTCTCTCACAATCAGGATAAAGATCACAATCTCTAAATGAGATAATTATCTTTTTTCAGCTGAGAGATCTAAGCTCAATAATCTCATTTCCCAAAATTCTAAGAGAACATTATGAGCATAGATGATAACTCCTATAACAGCCGTTAGGTGCACTATGCTTTACACATTTTTCAAAGGTAAGAGAAAATCATTTATTTAACCAAAAGTTAATTCGAAAAATTCCTACTCCAGCCAATAAGCATAATGAGGATTCAAAATAAGGAAAGAAATTACCTTCTCAAAATCCTGGCTACGAACAGCCTCATTTTTCTCCTTGGTGATCTGCCTGAGCTCCTTGTCAAGCTCTTTGGCCTCTTCAGGAAGCTGTTTTGAATCATATGAAGTTACTTTTTCAGTACTATCAAAAAATAATTTTTTTGTTCAAATATAAATATTTCAAAGACTGAATGTACAGTAAGAACCAGGGAAAATTTCTACCTGTGCATGGCGAAGTCTTACACGAGATCCAGCCTCGTCTACCAAATCAATTGCCTTGTCAGGGAGGAAGCGATCACTGCAATTAAAAGACCAAAAGTAAGATCAAATCAGTACACATGTGAACCCAATTTCCATAAAGATACAAAAGAACGGAAAACATTTGATGACATAAAACCAGGGGAATGTAACCATGACCCGATGGACAATGGAGAAACCATAGTCCAATGGATAATCACAGTCCCTAGAAATGGTAGGTGGCCAAGAGAGTGGAACTCACAAGAACCTCATGTCACAATCAATGACAATTCACTATCTCTTTATCACCATACTATTATCATCATTTCATTGGATAGCGATGACTCAATAGGTCCATAGTCCACCAGATTCTAATATATTTTCTCTAAAAACAGATGGTCATGGACTAAATAAATTTCTTGGAACCTTTTTATCTAAGTAAAATTGACCGAAATAGGATAAAGAGCTCACATGCCCATTCATAAACAATGAAGCCCAACTGAAAGTGAATTAAGATACATAGTTGTTTAAACAAATGATTAAAATATCCGCATGTGGATAATGGAACTCCCATGCTCACAACCATGCATAGAGTAAGTATAAGGTTTAACAATTAAAAAAATGTAGACCATCCAAAATATAGTAACTGATAAGCTAGGATTAACAATTAAAATAATGCAGTAGTAACTGAAGTAACTTGAAGAACCCAAAATTTGCGAGTCATATGAGCAAATCCACTTGCAGTTGATGCAAGAAACAGTATTTCATGAATCCAGGCAGTTTTTAAAGAAACCCAGGACACAAGGATGCCTGATTTAATAATCAAAATAAATAAACAAACCCAAGAATGCCTAGGCAAAAAACTGCCATCCAGCATCAAGAGGGCTCCAACTCCGGCCTCAGCAGAGGCCCATAAACCTAAAGGCCCAGTATATTGTTGTCCAATTAATAATGGCACCCTTCCAAACCTATATATCCAAAGGAGTTATCAACAAAGTTGCATTTTCTTTTTTAATCTGTACACTATGCCAGCTTCAAGTACTGTCTTAACCCGGCAAGCAAAAAGGTTGAGAGCTCAGAATTCTACTACTAGCAATCATCTTCTGATATTCTCTTCTCAATCCAGCTATTCCAACCTCATGAAGTTCCTTGTAAATCCCTGACTAGCATCAAATCTCACCACAACACCACCACAATCACATACGCACACCTCCCCAGATGCCCCTGAACTTTGTTAAAGGATGCCAAAGGCATGGACCTCCTCACTCGGAAAGCTAAGCTAGGGAACAACTCGTGAGCTCTCCATACATCTTAAGCATCATCCAAACCAATTCAAATAGGTATAAGAAGCAGTTCCAGATCATAATTGCATGCAATGCAAGAGAAGTCATACATGGTCTTCCACTCGTCCTAGCCTCCTTATACATGAAACATATAACATGGATTATGGAACCTGTGGTTTTAAAGACATCTAATCTTTGAGGGTATTGTCCAGGGTGGCTAAACAGCAGAGAAGATTGATCACAAACTACAAGGTTTACCCAAATAAGGAAGACTAGGGGTCTCCCTTCACCATCACTCTAAAGATTTCTAAAGATATGATTTGATTCCAAGCTACCCACACAATCCACCTCTGGATTCTCGTCAGTCCCCCTGCACAAGATAAACTCTCCTCTTCTAGAACACCCAAGAAACACCCCCAGGTCATCAACTCTGCATCCATCAAATTTCACTCAAAGCTCAGGCACAGAATTTACCATTTACCATCTTCCTCCCTTTCGATATACTCCCCAGCCAGCAACTCTAGGTAAAAAGCTAGACAGGCCAGGTACAGGAATCAGGACTGCTTACACTAAAAACTGGACCAGATGTCCCCTACTTCTGTCACTGACCCTAAAATCAATGCCAATCAACTCTAGATCTACAAAACAAGTCCTTCATATTCCTCTACGCACTCCACCAAACCTATTGGATATACATGGTTTCAGAAATTCCCTAACGTACATATCTTGAACACATTTACTAATCTTGAAATTAAACTCAAATTGCAGAGTCTGATCCCCTAGTTCTTGAAGTCAAAACACAACATTCAAAACTGTATTTATTATACCACAGAAAATGCACAATTGCACACTAACTTTTAAATTCACAATATAGAATACTGAGGCAAGTGTAATTCTACAACATACCTAATGTACTGGTAGGATAGTTGTGCAGCAGCAACCAAGGCCACGTCTGTGTAACGAAGTTTGTGGTGAAGCTCATATCGCTCACGTAGCCCCTTGAGAATCTGTATTGTTTCATCAACAGAGGGTTCTGGCACTTTGACTGGCTGAAACCGCCTTTCCAAGGCTGGATCTTTCTCAATGTGCTTCCTGTACTCATCCAGTGTTGTAGCACCTATGCACTGCATGCAAACACAGAAACGGGTCATGACTCATAATCCACTGGATACAAACAAAGAGGGAAAAAGAAGCATAAATGCATATTTAACAAAAACGCAAAGGACAAAAGAAGTACAAAGGCATCTTTGAAATTTTATCCTAATTCACATGATAAAGTAAGATGACAAAGGTACATGGCATAAAGATAAGTACCTGTAGTTCACCTCTTGCTAAAGCTGGCTTCAAGATATTGGCAGCATCAATTGCACCCTCCGCTGCACCAGCTCCAATTAAGGTGTGCACCTCATCAATAAACAGAATAATCTCATCACTTTGCTTAATTTCCTCCATCAGCTTCTTCAACCTTTCTTCAAACTCTCCACGGTATTTTGTACCAGCCACAAGAAGTCCCATATCCAGGGTAATCACCTGAGCCCCATGAGAAGCATTAACGAGACATTTATTTATGCTTCAAAGTTGCATACATCATAGCAAATATTCTGGAAACTTGGTGCATATAACTCGAAAACTTTGAAATAGTTCTTTTAACCATTGAACTTCACAGTAAGGAATCATCATCAGCCTTTAAGGACGACTTGAAAAACATTACAAGTGTGTTTAAAAAGAGAGGATGAACCAAATAAAAAAAAAATAGATATTTAATTTATGTATTTATTAGTGTGGGCACATCTCAAAGTTGATGATGCTAAGAAATTTTCCATGGATGAATAGCAATTTTAAACAACTGAATCAGATTTTCAAGGGAAAGCACCCCAACCTTTTTCCCCTCAATTGTTTCTGGAACATCCCCATTCGCAATTCTTTGAGCAAGGCCTTCAGCAATTGCAGTCTTCCCAACACCAGGCTCTCCAATAAGGCAAGGATTGTTCTTTGTTCGCCTTCCTAGAATTTGGGTCACACGCTCAATCTGCATCTGCCTTCCAACAACAGGATCCAGTTTACCCTGATAATTAAGAACAAAAGCAATAATTCAATGGTTACTGGGCCATCATCAAAAGTAGATCAATTAAGGAAATATCGGTAAATCACCAATGGATGATCAATGTATTGAATTGAGTACCTCTTCTGCTAGCTTTGTAAGATTGGTTCCATATTCCTCAAGTGTTGGCATCTTGTTTCCACTACTTCCCCCACCAACACCAGCACCAACAGCCTCTGTGCTTTCTCCAACCATTCGAATGACCTATTTACATCAATAAAGTCAAGCACATCATATTCAACTAAAAGAAAAAAAGAATCAATCAAATGATTATTTCGAAGACCACCAATAAAAAAAATTGTAAGACTTGCCTGTGTACGAATATTGCTTGGATCAGCTCCAAGGTTTTCAAGCACACGTGCTGCAACCCCTTCCCCTTCACGAAGCAAACCTAAAAGCAAATGCTCAGACCCTATATAGTTGTGTCCTGCATTGTTCAAATTTGAATTGATCAAATGGTCTTGCTCAGTCAAGAGAAACAGCAAAAACACCAAAGGGTAACAGCCCACAAACAAATACAAAGAATTAAAAATCAAGAAAAAACAAGTGAAATTACCAAGCTGACGAGCTTCCTCAAGGGAAAGTTCCAAGACACGCTTGGCACGTGGAGTAAATGGTATCTCTACAGCAACAAAACCACTTCCCCTCCCAATAATTTTCTCAACCTCTACACGAGCATCCTTCAAATTAATTCCCATGGACTTCAAAACTTTGGCAGCAATACCAGTCCCTTCACCAATAAGGCCCAATAAAATTTGTTCAGTTCCAACAAAGTTGTGACCGAGACGTCTTGCTTCTTCTTGTGCAAGCATAATAACTTTGATTGCTTTTTCAGTGAAACGCTCAAACATAGCTTTGACCACTCCCTGGCTGCCTTTTCCCTTTGGCAAAGTGATAGCAGCTGAAACAGCTGCATGGAAACTTCTTTCAGACCGAATTGCAACTAAATCAATGGCATTAGAACCTCGCAATCCTCTATAACTTCCTAAACTTAATGGCCTCACTCGGATGGGAACCATCATTCTAGTGCCCGTTTTGCCTTTGCCAGAACCGTGATTTTGCCGTACCCCATTCCTGCTTACTACTCTAGCAGGAAGGACTGCTGTCTGAACCAGTGCACCAGCCATGACTTCAGCTGACAACTGCCAAGTAAATATTACGTATAACACTCTGCCAAAGCATAAAGACATCTAAATCAATGTTAAAAGAATAAAAGTACAGTACAACACCCATCTTGAGAATAAGAACATAAGTATTTTCTACTGTAGCTAAATATCCAAAATAGAAATCCAAGTAAACTGACCATGTAGCATCCCATATAAACACTGAAAAATTAGTGCATTAACTTGAACATCTACAACGATCAAATAGTCCCTTTAGAAAATCCAAAATTCAGAATTACAGTTAATTGACTAAAGTAAGTTAATATTTAACAAGACAAGAAAGCAAACAGAAATCCATGCCACCATTTTGAAAAGTCCATGGCATGTCCGTCCCCTAAGTCCTTAGAACACCAATAAGATTAATAACTCATTGGCGAATGATGGAGTAGTAAAAATAGGGTTGAACTTTTGGGAATTTCTCTTCATACTATATACGATTTTCTACATATGTTGTTTATAATGTTTCATGTATGTATATTATTATAATTTATAACACAAAATGCTTCCATTGAAAATATTTCAAATGCTTTATAACATTTCAACACAAAAAGATCCCTATAAAAGCCATCAATGTCACATGACATGGTACAAAACTACAAATACAGCGGCATAGATAAGGAAACCATGCAAAAAACAAAAGGATAAATCGAGCAAGAAAAAGAGCATAGCAATAGCCCAAGCAGAAGGTGCATCTAGACTACAATCCTAGAGAACAAAACTAAAGACTGCTTTGGTTTTCCTGTTCATAGGTAATAGGATTAACATGGCAAAATAAAACCCAAAGTTAACACTCTTTCTTTCAAATAGGATAAAATTTGACTGTTTTTTTTTTTTAAGTTATGATCAGATCAAGTGACATGGACGGCAATGATGAGAAACAAATGGAGCACAAGAAATTTAGTATACTAGAAATAGATATAGTATTACATAAATGAGTCAAAAGCCCTAATATCACTGATTTTGGCCATTCAAGGCTATGTCGCTAGAACCTAGATTAGAATCAATATCAAGTATCTCATGACTGGACAAAATATGTGTATTTAGTGTATACTTATTTTTCAAGCATTAGCATATCATTAGAATGTAATCATATGATTCTGATATACTCACAATAGCACTTCGCAATATGTTAATTAAAAACGACTAACCAGCATGATGACAATCATTCATCTCACCGGTGTATTTTCATCATGTACCAAAAAAAAAAAAAAATGTACATAAAAAATGAAAGTGGAATTTCGATACCAGATAATGCAAGAAATTTCCAATTTGTAAGCTTGGTGAATGTGTGCGTTGTGATTGACACTGTAATTGTCTATATCTCAGTCAGCTGCATAACCATTCTCAGAATTTCAACACATCCAACAAATCTCAGGCTAATAATATACAAACTGTTTACTGAGAAATTAGAAATTGTAGGACCAACCATAGTTGTTGGGATCGGGAGTGGAAACGGTATAGGGATCGGGAGAGAGGGATCGTGAAATGCTAGAAGATCCCTATGGTTGGGAACGTCGTTCGTACAATGCACATGTTAGGGATCAAGATCCCCAAATAGTAGGGATCAAGATTCCAACCTTTTAGGGATCTTGATCCTGACCTTTTGGGATCTTGACCGTAACATTTTTGGGATCTTGTTACTAACCTTAAAGTGTATGATAATTTAGGATTATGCATATCTTGTAAAGTAGGGATCTCATTATTGATAGCAAGCAATAGTTGTGTTGCTAGTTGGTTATAAACAACGAAAATCATCAGTTTGGTTGTTGTCTTGGTCTTTAAGGTTGGGATTGAGATCCCTAACAGCAGGAATCGGGATCCCTAACAGTGGGGTTCGAGATCCCAAACTTTTAAAATCGAGATCCCTGAGAGATCCGTTCCCGGAACGACATAATCGAGATCCTAGAAGGGATCGCCTACCAAACTAGGAGATCCCGGTAACTATGGGACCAACTATCAACAATGACACATTTGCAAGCCATAAATTGGATTGTCTAAGGCTCCTAGCAATTGGGATGATATTGAAACAAGAGAAATACAGAACCACGCCAACTTCCATTAATTCAAAGAATTAACTAAGCTCAATTTGAAATCAATATGGCTATAAGGGAAATCTAGTCAAAATATATGTTCGCAACTTCTCGTCAATAGATAATTTCAACATAAAAGAATGAACAATGATATATGCTTTCACAAATAAGATCAAAGCCTAACTAATCAAAGAATAACAACACGGTAAACAGATACCAAAAGGTCAAATAATTGTAGCTACACTTAACCTTTCTTTTTTTGAGAATAATAGCTACACCTAACCTTTCAAGTAATAGAAGTACACAAAAAATTACTACAATGACAAAACCAAAAATTTTGCACACGCAAAGATAAGATAACAGTGTTAAAGTCAAATGGAGCCAACATTACAATGAACGTTTCTATTTCGATAAAACCAGTACCTTTACTACAAACCGATAATAATTACAGGAAAAACAAGAAGGAATAAATTGTACACAAGTAAATCAGGCCAAAACTAGTGTTCTAGCAAGCATAAAACCATTATAGTGATCAAAGCGCTCCACTCATATAAAAAGTCAATAAATTGAAACCACTCCAAGACAAAGCCCTAAGGAACCGGTAATCCACAAAAACGAAACCCATTATTCTAATTATTGAGTTACTTTAGATGAAAAACAACCCAATTCAAACCAGCTCAAGAACAAACCCTAACCTAAAACACAGAGTAAATTGTTCCACAACCTACAAAACCATCCACAATTCAAGCTCAAACAAGGTCACCAAAAAAGAAGAAAAAACGAATTGATAGGCAAAAAAAGCATAAATTCTTACCAACACCTAGGCTTTGAACAAGAAAGAAATCTAAGGATTTTAGCAGGAATTCCAACCCCTAGGCCCTGAAGATTAAGAATGGTACGGGTAAAAAGAAGTGAGAGGTCGGAACCCGTTCTATCTGAGATAGACAAAAGGGTCTAATATAACGTTTTGTTATCTTGCATTCGTAGCTTCTAGCATGAATGGAAGGGTAATCGCTAATGTCTACTATGCTCCTTCGGGACCACAGTTACTTTTACTCTACCTACCTCCGAGGATTTTTTCAATATGAAATTTCGGTTACCATTTAAAATCACTAGATGATCATTCAAAAAAAAAAAAAATTGAAACCCAAAAAATTGAAACTTGAGTTCTCTAGCGCTTAGATCCCACCCTCTAAAAATCGAATACTTTCTATTCAATCTTCAAACATTAGATCCCACCCTCTAAAAATCGAATAGTGTCTATTCAATCTTCAAACATTAGTTTTTAAATGCTTGAAGGTGCAATTAGTAAATATTTTTTATTGAGATTATATCCTCAAAATTTGATGTCCCAACACTAATTCTAGGTGTCCCAACACTAATTCTAGGTGGTGTTTTATGAAAAATAAATAATACTTCACCTCAAATACTTGCTTAAAAAGCACTTTTTGCTTGCTCTAAAATCGAATTTTAAAATTAACAATAAAATTTAAAAACTCAAAAAATAGTACTGATCTTGGAGATCTATGAACATTCATTTTTAAAGCAAAATAAACAGTCTAGATAATTTGTCAAAATATACAATATTTTTAGAACTTGAATTACTAATTTTTTTTACAATTGTAATAATCAAACTAAAATGATCAATATAAAGGTTTTCCAATGCTTGAATTGTAATTTTGAATGTGTTATGAAGTGATGCTTTTACTTATTTTGATTGGGTTGCAGCCCTATCAAACCATTCTCTTCTTCTTCTTCTCTTTCTTTTTTTTTTTTTTTTTTTTTTTTTTTTGGCAATAATCAAACCATTCTCCTTATAATATGATTCTTGATGTTTTGGGTGGCACTAGTAAAAGAGATGGGTTTAAATAGGGTTTTTGATAATTTACAAATGGTGTGGATTATAGAAGGCGGTTGTATTAATAAGACATTTTATCCTTCGCAGATATTTTCACGTCTTTTCGTTTGTGGCACGTCTCTGTTTCCCTGGCTCCCATCGATGGCCGAAATTTCAGTTCAGGATTTCGGGGGGATGACTGAAAATTCGGAATTGAACTCAATCTTGGAATAGCTACTATACCATGTTTCCGTAGGAGCAAATCGCCGTTAGAAGACCTATTTGAAAGTCCTTTTTTTTTTTTCAATCTGAAATTTTAAAAACTACTTGAGATAATTATCTAAATATAAATTTTAAGTTAATACTTGAATCGTACTCGTCAAAAATTGAATAGTTTATATTAAATTTAAGAAAAAAATTATTTAAGTTGTTAACCTTGTACTATAAAAAAAAGGTGCACCGCAAAAATCCGCCCAAATATATTGTTAAAATGTTAAAAATTGTACAAGTAATCATTGCAACCTCGAAATATATGGATATAAAAAAATGATTTATAGTTTTAAAAATAATGTATCTTATGACATAAAACTATTGTTTTAAAAAAAATTGAGCATTCATAGATCTATTCCATCTAAAACGTTTTTAGAGCTTTAAATTCTATAATTAGGGATGAAAATAGATTTTTACGACATCGCAAGTGTTTATGGCATCCAAACTGCAACTTTTAGCACGATTTAGAGGTGCACCTTGCTTTGATTGTTTGAGGTTGACGCATTATATAAAAGGTGCAGTTTGTATGAGCCTAGGCTCTAAACAATCAAATTAGAGCCTACCTTCAAATAGTATCGAGAAATATGGTTTCAAAGCTGTAAATCTTTATGATAGCCTTAAAATATATTTTCATCTTTATTTATAAAGTTTAAAGTTTAAAAAATAGTATAGATCGAAGGATCTATGAAAACTTAAAAATCTTGAAAATTGACGGTCCAAAAGTGTGTTACAAAATACAATATTTCCAAAACTTGAAATCCATTTTTATTCTCATGTCCATGCATCTTGATGTCGAGATGATGAATTTGAAGATATTTGGGCATCAAAACAATCTCATCCAGTGAAATTTTTATGGTAGACTCGAATTTGATTGTTTAAAGCCTCAGCTCTATATAAACGTTTCCCGTTTCCCTTATGTAAACCGCACCTTTAATTTTATGACATTATTTTTTCAATACATAAAAAATACAATACAATTTACAAATTTTTTATTAAGATTGGTCTATAGATCATATAAGTTACACTCCCAAATTTTGAACTCCTAAATATTATTCTTGGTGAGGTTTTGCTCGAGAGAGTAAATAGACAGTGTAATTCGGAGAAGTACGAAAGCTCTTGGAACTTAGCGTGAAACGGTGAAATCTGAGGGGGTTTGGCAACTAGGAATGCAGTACATGGGAGTTTGTATTTTAAAGAAATGAGAGGTGGTCTTCCAGCCGATGCAAGAGGAAAATTCTCATGAAATGAGCGACATTTATTCATTTTAAAAGCATTGAACTTAAAAAAAAATATATGAAAGTCTATAATGAGACCATTTACATGTCGTATGACACGCACACATCGAAAAATAGATGATTTTAAAATAATAATAATAATAATGAGACCATTTACATTTGGTACAAGTAGTGACAATTAATCTTGATCATTAAATGTGAAATTTGTTTGTTACATTTATTTCATTGACCAAGATCAAAGTTCAAAAGAAATTTTTTCGAACTTTGTGACACATCCAAACTATCAGATTTCACATCGTTTGGTTATAAAAAATTGTAACATCTTTGTACCAGATATATGGTGTTATTGTATACCTATACAATCCTAATAAAAATTACTATCTTTGTGTTTGTTTTGTGTAAAATTTGATTTCATATTTGGTAATATTATTATTTCACTACTTCTCAAAAAGTTATAAAGGAGAAAATAACAGTAGTATATTGGTTTCGGCTATAAAGGAGAAAATAAAAGTAGTATATTGGTTTCCGCTACAAAATTGTAATAAGTTTTCAAATAAAATTAAGTGATCAGCTGTACATTGTTTTGTAAGAGCTAGAGGATGCCTCTAATTTTGTTGGATGCCTCTAATTTTGTTAGGTGATCAACTCTATATTATTTTATTCAAACCAGTAGTTGAAAAATCGCCTAGTTGACATGAAATTGTGCACGTCACTCACGTGCAAGCACAATGACATTAACAAGTAGCCACCAAAGACAATTTATACCATATGAATGTTCTTCGAACGTTTGATGTGGGATAATTCTCAAAACAGTGGGCGTGTGAATTTTATAAATAACCCTCTTTCTCATACGTATAATGTATAAAGTGAATTATATACTTTATATGTATAAAATAAATTACATACAATAAAGTAAATTACATATTTTATAAAAAGATCTCTCTCTCTCATATGTATAATGATGCATAAATTAAATATTTTATAAATAGATCTCTATCTTATATAAAAACATCTACCATATGAAATAGTCTATAATTTTTTTTTACTTATTTTTAATATTTAATCCTTTTTAATATTAACTAAATACTTATTTATTTATATGATATACAAATATAAATTACATATAATATTTAATTACATATAATATTGAATTACATATAATTATAAAAATAAAATGCTATATAATAATTTACAAAAATGAACATAATTATATGAAATTATTGTTTGTTTATGTGAATAAATTAAATATATTTATGTTAATTTTATGTCACTATAATTATATTTATATACACTAAATTATTTTAAAATTATATGGAAGTTTTTTCTAATATTTTTAAATTATTTTGATTTAATATTATAATACTATATTATAATTAATAGTTATAATTAGGGATTTAATAAACGACGAGTCGACTCGGTGGTCGTAACTAAATTATATGATAAAAAAAGGAAAAAATTATTATAAATAATAATTGGGTGCTTATCACCCCCATCTTCCACTAAAAAAATCTAAATTTACCTACCAAAATAAAACATAAAATTTCTATTAGCCTATTATCTCATGAGATTATTTCATTACATGATTAATAATTAATTAAGCAATTAATTGAGATTAAAAATTAGTACTAGCTCCTAGCATATTAAAAAACAACAAATAATACTAATTCTCGTTTATTGAATATTAAACAAGATTAGTTTAGAGGATATTTTAAGAGAGAAAAATAACACTAACTCATGCCGCTTTAGAATTTATTTCTACATTGATAACCAAATCTTTTATTTTATTTGCATTATAAATTATGCCATGTGCTATTTTTTTTTCCAGTTGTCAATAATACATTTTAAATTAGATGATATTATAAGATATTTTAGATTTGTTATTATGTGTATAATAAAATAAACTATAAAATATAAACCAACAATTTCAGTTTCAATATATAATACTATAGCTAGTTAGGTTGCAATAATTTTGGATTATAATTAGTTAGGCTGTAATAATTTGAGTTTTTTTTTTAACGGATTGGGGTTTTCCGCCAATTCGAGATTTTGGTGGCTATTTTTTATTTGATTTAATCCATTATTTATTGTAGTCTAGTATGATTACATACTTCATTCATGATAATTCTATGATTTTTCTTTTGTGTGATGCAAATTTAGTAGTTAACATAACTTGATATGGGGAAAGAACATCTCAATATTCACATGTTGATGAAAAAAATGAAAGTTAATAATATAGTACCCCCATTTTTTATTGAATTCCTTAAAAACAACATTTAGAATAAAATTTTTTTGAATTTTTTTTAAAGCTTAATCTGGTCGTTTTCCAATCTGGATTGCCGATTCATCGATCCGAATGGGTTTTTGGGATGCCCGATCCAAGGGCACCTATCCATTTTTTAAACCACTTATTCACACACATCGTTAAAATCGATTTTCTTCTCCATTTGCATGTCATGTATTTCTCGTACCAATTGCCTCAAATACCCTGCTTCCCTTTACATCGTTTAGTTTTCTTTAGTGTCCGCTTCTACAATCATTCTTTGTTGATTTTTTAGAAAATTGCCTTAGTATTCATTTTTTTTAATGTTATTTAAAATTTACCTGCAATTTACCATTGTTACA